AGACAAACAATTAAATCAAAATTAAAGTAAAATAAAAAGAAATTTAATAAATTTGAAATTTCCTCATGAATTGTAAAAATTCTAAAACTATCTGTTAAATTAAGAGAAAAAAGAATTAAAATTACCGTGTAATTTGTAAATTAGCCGAATTTTCATCATCTTTTGCAACCATACAAACAAGTGAACCAGCAAGATTTGTTGTTGTCACCGATAATGCCATCAAACATGATGACATTAATATTGCAATCATCATTCGCATCGTTAAAAAATAGCCAAATTTGTGATAAATTATTGATTTTATCGTTTGTTTTTTGTTATCTTTTATTGTAGTTGATAAAATTTCATCTGTTTTAGTAAAATTTTCCATAGTAATATTTGTTGTTACTATTTCACTTACTGTTGGTATTATTCGAACCATCCTGAAATTAAAATTTTTAAATTTATTAATTTGAGCAATAAAATTTTTTCATCATTAATTTTGTAATCGAATAAATGATATAAAATTAAACAAAAATGATATGATATAAATGATATGAAATGACAATAATTGGTGATCAATAATTAATGTTAATTACAGATTATTTTAAAATGAATTTAAAAAAAAAATAATATATATATGTTTGAAGTTATTCGAAAAAATTATACAATTATTATTACTGTTTTTCTTTTTTTTCTTTCATTTCGTATATTTATATATTTGAAATTATCCATTAATTATTTTTCGATTCTTATATATGATAATGATATAATTGTATTATTAAGTGATCCGGGAAGGTTAAAAATTTAAATTTAATTTTTCAAGGAAATTATGCAATATATATGTAAATAAAATAATGATTTAATAGATTTTTTTTAATTTCAAATATAAACATATACAAATTATGCTTTAATGTTATCCTATTATTCATTTTAATTTTCTAAAATAATTATATCCATTTTTATGATTTGTCTGCATTTCAAAGGTAAATCTTTTTATCAATTACTTTATTTGGTAGTAAAAATAATCTTGTTAAGTGTAATTAACAAAGGAGTGATTAACTTTTTCAAAAATATTAAATTTCATTATTTAATTTATCGATTTCATAATGTGAAATGTGTAAATATACATAAATCTTTTCTATGATTACTTAGCAATGGTACATTTGTTTGCTTAAATTAGTTGGAATTTTTGGAATTGTATAAAAACCGGAAATGTCACTTCCGAATATTTCTAGGAAAGATCAAATTTCACATAACTTTTAAACAATTATACATATATGTGTGAAACATAGAAAATGTATTTTACTTATTAATTTTATTAATTATCATTGATGATCAAAAAAAAGGTTAGATATATATATGTATAGTAAATTCGAGTAATTCATTAACTCAATCGATTAATTATACCATGAAAATTAAACTTTGATCAATTATTGCCACCATAAATGATTAAAGTTTAATTAGTTTGGAAGGATGAAATTGAAAGAGATAGAAATATATTCTGCTTGCAATGCATAATTTAATGCAATAAATAGAATTTTACTTTTTCATAAACAAAATTTGGAAAAAAATGTTCGCTACTTGACTTGAATAATTTATGATAACACTTTATCATTACTATAATCACTATTGCCATTATTATTATTATTATTATTATTATTATTATTATTATTATTATTATTATTATTATTATTATTATTA